ATGGTCAGAGAGAACATCAAGATTTCTGTCAGATAGACTGCCAGGTCTCTGGATAAATTATGATAAATTATGATAGTTCACTAACTTGAAGCCGGGCCGTTTGGAAATTGTTACGATTCCGGCTGTCTATAAGACATTGATCGCCAACATGCGCGAACCAGGCCACAACCCCGCTTCTCCTGTATATCTCTCAAAGCCATCACGCATTGTAGAAATGCCTCGCCAGCGCTCCAACTTGTGAACACACAAGGTTTTTGAGGAGAACGTCACACCCAAAGATTGTTGGTCTATGCGGCATGGCACGTAACACTGACCCCTAGGTGCTGGAATGGTCCGGTATGGTCCTGTGTCGCAATGGTCCGCTCCAGTGTAGTTCTGGTTGGTATGAATCAAAATGAATCATGGTTGGGGATAATACTTATATGGTACGGTGTTGGAATGACAGATTCAGTGCTGATGGGTGATTTTTAGATACGCCAAAAATGACTGGTAGACAGTCCCAGCAAACTAGCGAATCTTTGGGCTGGTTGATGACCTGACCTGAGTGAACCCTGTGTCCAGGCTTCCCCAACTTGTAGGCCAAAGGCCAGATGAACGAAATGCATCGCAGCCTCCCGGGTTGATGCTGGCTGATGCCAAGGGACCCAGAAAGAGATGTAGTTTTCCATGTGGCATGCCAGTTTACTGTGGTGTAAGGACATGTAATACTCATGTATAAGAAAAATAAAACAATTGCTTCTGTGACTTGTTCCGGGAATTCATGTCATATTCAAACGCATTATCTGCATATACAATTAAAATCAACTAAATACATACGTGCCAGTCAGGTTGAGCCATTATAAGACCCCTCACGGCTACTTGCAAAACGCCCAACCTCCGAGGAAATGTCAGGGTCTGACTGTCAAAAAAATATCAAACATGATGGGTACTTGGTAATCCATGGTAATCCACCAGGATAGTCCCAGGATAGCCTGCCTTTAACACAGGAAACTCCTGTTTTTGGACTTCCTAATTTCAAGGACCCAGCTATAAATTAATTTTCATCATGGCAGTGCCTCCCGGATGAACACTTTAAGTCGCGCCTCACGACGGAAAAAACCCAGTGTTTGCATCCTTTTCCTGACCTTTTTCCAACAGCCCCGTTCACGTGACCCCAACATGCACGAGATAGCGAGCGGTTCGCTGAATCTTGTCTAGTCATCCCGAATGTTGGCCCATGAAAGGCAAGGTAGGCATCGCTTCTGTGGGCCTTTCCTTTGAATGCAAAGCAAAGACTGCAAGAACAGCGTGGAGGCACCCACAAAAACCAAACCTCCTAAGATTGAAAACTTACGTGGGTGAAATTCTAGTGACCTGCCGGTGCCATACATTGTATTTACTGACATTTCTCCCAAAATCGTCCATTCAAAGCAGTTACGTAAGTCAATCGTAGGAGTTTGTCCAGAAATATGCAGCTGCGGTGTTTTTATGTGATTGTTTCAATTTTTTCTGTCGTAACATCAAGTAGATGCCCAAAGTAGATGCCCAAATCCAAAAGAACCTTCCCGGCTAATCATCGAGTAGGCGCGGACGTGCAAGAGAACAATTGCTAGCGTAATGCAAGAGAGCTGTTACAGTAAGTCAGTAGCATGTGTAACATATTAAGTGCAAGAGAGTTCTGGGGTAACATCGAAGACGTGTGCACTGAACACTTTCTAGTGTTACATCAAGTACGTGCGCAATGCGCAAATTCTACTGAACCTTTAATAGACCTCCCCCCACCCCCCGGCAAAGTTCTACAGTGATGCAACTCTCAATTGAAACTGGCGCGACATACTGGCTACAAGTATACTGGCGGAACCCGAACATGTATCAATAACCCAAAAAAACCTTACAGTAATTAAGACACCAGGGCCACATGAACATCGCACGCCATAGGGCACCCTAAGTTCCGTTTGAAACATGGTCGCAATGCCCATATTCCTGGGCAAACTCACTGGGCACCCCCAAAGCTGGGGCGCCAAGCGATGAAATTGCAAACGCACGGCAGACTTTTGAGCCGAACTGAGGCGCCCGGAACTCCGAACCCCACCATCCCCACCTTTACACTTCGTGCAAAGGGTCCTGGATACCCCGGTTGAAACAAATCGAAATGTTCTCCAAAAACAACAATGTCCCATTACCAGATTGAATTTTTGCTGGGTACCATGTAACGCATCCAAACTTCGTCTGCAAGTTTGATCTATGGTTAGGTGGCTGATGGCCAGGCGCAGCACGTTACTTTGAGTGATCCCGGCCAGCTGACTGTCATGGGCTACCCCTTTATCGCTGGTTAATTTCATGGAAAATCCCAGTCTATAAATGGATGAGAACTAGGGGTACCCCATTTTAGGACACCTCCACATCTTATTTGAATATCTGGCATTCAATTCTATCCGACGTAAATTTTTGAATTGTCTCTGACATAGATTCCTGACCACTGAATGGACATTTTATCTAGCATTCTATTTCTTTCTTGTACTTTATCCGGCACATACCCTACAATTTCATCTGACATAAATTCGGCAATTTTTCTGACACTCCATTACGCATCTTATCTGCTATTCTGTACCACATTTAATTCACATTTATTCTGGACAACTTCTGGACAATTCTCTGAATTCTGTCTCGCAAAATTTCCGACAATTTATCTGACGTATCTTGTCACATTTTATCTGGCCTTGTTTCTTTTTACATTTTACCCGGCAGTTTCTCTGACGCTCCATCTGACGCAAATTCTGACCTTCCTCTGACATTTTATCTGACACATATTCCGACATCTATTCTGATATCCTATCTGCCCCTTCATCCGGCATTCTGTCTGACACCCTTTCTAGCATTCCTTCTGACACAGTTCCTGACATTCATTTGACATATTTTCTCTGACATTCTTTCTGACAAAGTTTACCTGGCATTCTATCTGGAATCTGGCGTTGTGTGAGAAAACTGGTACATTTTATTTGACATTCTATCTGACATCTATTCTGATATTCTATCTGACGCATGTTGTGATTTTGTCCCGGACGTATATGCTGAGCCTTTTCTGGCATTCAATCTGACATGTTCACATTCATCTGACATATATATATGTATATATATATATACACATATGTATATATAAATATACACATATACATTTAATATATACATATAATATATACACATAATACATATATACATAATATATATTATATATACACAATATATATATACATATTATATATATACATAATCATATATATATATACGTATATTATAGAGAGAGAAATGTGTATATATTGACATTTTATGTGCCGTAAATTCTGACATCTGATCTGACATATATTTTTTTTCCGGACATATCTTCTGAGCATCTTCTGCCATTCTCTCTGACATTCTTTCTGACATTTATCTGGCATATTTACCTCGCATGTTCTCTGACATTCTTTCCTGGTTGGTGGTTTCAACATGTTTCAACCCCTCTGAAAAATAGTCAGTTGGGATCATTATTCCCAATATATGGAAGAATAAAAAATGTTCCAAACCACCAGCCAGTTTCTGACAAAGTTACCTGGCATTCTATTTGGCGCAAGTAGACATACCCTGGCAGAGTGGGTCTGTAAGCTCGCCGCGGCGAGTGACACTGCGAGATCAAGTGATAGGAGTCACGAGATTTCAACCCTCAGTATATCGCGTGCTAAAACCGGAAAATGTCAAACATATGGCACACGCCGTTTCAATACAATATATATATATACATATATACCCACATTTAAGTACGTATAGATAAACAAGTTAAACTTTTGAGATAAACATACAATATAATATAATGATATATAATGATATAATATAATATACATACTGTATAGGTAAATACATCCCATTCCTGGGTATCGGCGAATCGACCACTGAGTAACAGCTTTCCCAGATTCTCGCCATCTGCACATGATGGAAATCCATGCGCAGGTTGTAGGTATGTAGGAATGTAGGAATGCAGCTATGCAGGGATGTATGGATCTATGAACATAGGCATGTATATATGCATTTTATGTACGTACATATGTATCTATCAGTCTATCATTCAATCAACCAATCAGTTAATCTATCTTTCTCTCTATCTATCTATCTATCTGTCTGTCTGTCTGTCTATCTGTCTGTCTGTCTGTCTATCTATCTATCTATCTATCTGTGTATATAGGTAAGGAAAGGTAGGGTAAAGAAAGATAGGGTAAGATAAGGTTCGGTTAGACTGGATTAGGTTAGGGTAGGTAGGTAGATAGGTGTAGGTACGTATGTGTGTATGTGTTTATGAGTGTGTGCTGGCATGTGCATGTATGTATGTGCTCGCCGGCATGTGCACATAGCTGTATATAGTGTTCTTAATATTTTATTTGTGTATATGTGTATGTATTTGATTGTATGTATTTGTATGTATATCCGTGTTCCTACGTATTGAGATGCACACATTGATGCGGAAATGTTTTTTTCGAGGTGGATGCATGGATCGATGGATGACAGGATCTATGGATCTATGGATCGACATGTCATGTGAGATGTCTGGTGGCCTATTGGTCACTGCACATGGGGGACTCGGGCACCGTGGCACGGTTCCAGCTAGGGACGAAACAACTGGTTTCATATGGTTTCATCACCATCGAGGTTTCATCATCATGTCATATCATGTCTACCCGTCCCTTCCACTTGGCTTGTTTTCGTGCAGAACAAGCTGGACATGATTGTCGCAGCTCATAGGTGCTGGACATGTCCTCATTCATCCTGCAATGAACATAGGAAGGAGAAGGCCCTGAAGTGAAGCCCCCCTCGCAAAAGGACCCGGGACCAGAAGCAGTTTTTCGGTTCTTCCGTTAAGAAGGCCCAAATAAAACGCCACTTAAGCTACCAAACCAAGATTTACTCAAAACATGCAGTAACCGAACAGCTGCAGTTCAGAATCCTCGCCTAAATTCTCCACAATTTTTAGGACTGGGCAAGTGGTCAACCCTAGAACGAAAGCTCTTTTTTTGAGACATGCCGAACATCCACCTCGACACTGCTGGCTGGGGGAAAACATGAAAGCAACACCTACATCCTACATCTGTACATATAGTCTTCATTTAAGGCTACTGTGAAAACGAAGACGCAAGAACTCATAAATTTCCATGGCCAACAAGTGTTTGACCTATGGCGAAAACCAGCACTGAGGATGCGTATTTCAAATGGAAGGAAGGGGGAAGAAACCGCCAATAGTTGGCGTTCTTGCTGCAAACTGTTCTTGCTGCAAAGTAACAACTTGTAGAAGCAACTGCTGGCTTGGGTACTGATTTTTTGAACAAATGGCAATAGCGATTTCGCTACTCTGGACCATCGGCACACAGTGCGACATTCCAACACCTTCTCATAGAACCGATCAAGCAAAGCCGGAATGGCCCAGATTGCCCATGACTGTCCTGTGCATGAAAAAAACGTGGAAAAACCCAAGCAGCAGCTTGTGAGACTTGCTAGTGAGATATCTTCAGGGTCTCACATGATGAATTTTCATCATCTCCGCCAAGAATGCCTCGCCAGAGAAGGCCTCCTGTTCCCCCAATTCATGGCACATGAAGCCGGCCACCTCCGGACATAAGCCCGAAATTAACATCTGCTTATAGGTCACCCAACCACTCTTCTCCGGATCCAAGGCTTCCAAGAAGCTATGCCACAGCGCGAGCACATGGGCTGGAACCCTGGCTTTGTAGAACGACCTCTTGATGGAATTCGTCGGGGCAAACAGGAACTCCGTTTGAGCGAAGCGCTGTTGCTCATGGGCTGCCTCCATCTTCAGGAACGCTTCAACCACAAGGTCCAGCCAGTTGGGGCTGGCATGCCGAAAGCCTGGAGGACACATGAGCATCAAGATTGCGTCCTGAGAGGAACATCTAAGCTGGTTGGTGGTTGACCTACCCCTCTGTCAAAGTCAGTTGGGATGATTATTCCCAATATATGGAAAAATGAAAAATTTTCCAAACCACCAACCAGTAAGGGAAATGGTTTCTCAAGGCTTGCACGACGTACCTGCTTACCGATTACGCCTTCATGGTTTGTGCTATGCTGCGTAGCTGCTCAATGCTTTCAATGCATGTGCCACGCCACACTCTTGAATTGGCAACAAAAAACATCAAAAAACACATCCAGGCGAAACCGACTGAAGATGGGACGTTTATTTCAATGCAATTTTATGAAACCTAGTGGCTCGTAGCCCTGGCTCTAGTACTACGTATAAATGCCCTATTTATTCAACACTGGATCAACATGGTCACCACGGTCACTAGCTAATTGTTAAGTGGCATGCGGCATACACATCCAAGTCAGTAGACCTGGTTGGTAGTTGACCCACCCGTTCATCCCGCCAAGGAGGCGCCAAGGAGGGGTTGGAACACCATATTTGAAACCACTCACAGTTGTGGCCCTTGTACCAGTTGTACATAGTTGTACATGGGGTTATCATTCCATAACTGGGGTTATAACTGACTTGCAACTGGTAAGGGGCTTTAACTGCTGCAAACACCCTGTCCTGACTCAGCTTTCCTTCTATCATCTCCTGCTCAAACCGCAACAAATGGCTGGAGGCTGGCACCAAAGACTCAAGCGAACGGGAGGTCTGAAGCTCAAACTCAAGAAATTCGTAGTCCTGAAACCCAGAAAGGTCGCAGAAGGCAAGAACATAATGTATGATCATTCTTTGTGTATAATTTTAAATCTTGCTTGGTGCTGTTTTGGAGTAACAGTGTATCCCCAAAACAGCATGATCAACTTTGAATAGCTGTCCTTCAAGAGATTCACTTTCTCAGCTTGATCCAGCAAAGGCAGGCTTTGATATTCCTCGAAAGTGTCCAGCACCTCACGACATCGTGCAATTCGCTCTTGCAGCTTCTCCTTATCTTCTACCTCTCTCATCCACGACTGGAACATCAGAAGATGATGTGCATCTGCCCTAGGGCAGAGTTGCCTGAGAAACATCTCCATCGAGATTTTTCGGCCGTTTTGACGATGGATTTCTACCTGTTCCAATGCTCGAGCAAGCTTGTTGCACCAGAGATTGGGGTTGATCTCCAGTCTGGTGACCCGCTCTGCTTCCAAATGAGAGATATCAAAGCAGTGTCTGGACTCACAATGTCGGAAAATCTCACGGATCACCTGCATCTCACTCCGCTGAAGAAAGCTGGCATCAAGTGCCAGTGCAAGCTCCATAGGGGGATCCACCAAAGATCTGTGAGACAGCCTGAATTTCTTCTCCTCCGGTAGGAAGAATTCTGGATCATCCCCGCTTCCCGAATGTCGCTCTAGGAACAGAGCGAATGGAATGGCCAAAGGATCCCCCGTCTCGCCCAAGAGCCAGCGCTCCAAGTGCTCCAACTGAGACTTAAGTGACAGCGAGCCATGCACTCCGCTGCGGGCCAAGAGCGTCTTAGACAAAAGGCAAATCTCACTGCCTTAGGGACCAAGAGGGGGATAGGATGGGTTGGATGGGTCGAAATCGAGATTCGGTGCGAACGCAAATTGTCTAAATACGTTGGGCCATGCAGATGCAACATGTTCCGTATTGATCCGTATTTATGGGTTTCTATGTGTGTTTCTATTCTATTACCCATAGGATCCATGTATGGTATATATGGTAACATTTACCATCAATATACCCCAAATGTTAGCATATATACCATACATGGATCCTATGGGTTATAGACTCGCTTTCTTTTTGATCAAACAATAGCACATAAGTGCTTTGATCCCATCCCCCTGATGCTATAGCATCCCGATGCTTTTTTTTTGCATCAGCATTGGAAAAGATTGGAAGCCCCAATGCTGCCAATAGCTAATCAATAGCTAATCAATGAATCAAGGATTCAAAGGGCGATTTTTCCAAGATGAGATGATGATCCCGCCTCGGTTTTTCAGCTGAAGGCCAAAGTTCAACTGAAGGCCCTGAGCATCACCGCGCTGGCAATGCGAACCGGGACACCAAGCACCGAATTTGGTGGTGTTAAGAAGTCCCATATATGAGCATATGAGCATATGAATGCTAATATGAGTTCATCCCGCTCACCTGGGAGTTCAACGCAGATGTGTGAAAGATAAACATCTCCAAAGGTGCTGTTTAAACATAGACATCTCCTGGTAAATTGACAGTTTCGAACAAACTTCCCATGAACTTCGATGCTTCGATAAATCTCTGGTAAACATGGCAATGTTCACTAGCAAACGGCTAGATTCCCAGGCGGCACACCATTTTACCACCCACTCCTGGAAGAACGCAGAGATGAAGGACCGAAACTTATCCTGATCAAAGGTGCCACTGTCGTTTTCATCAAAGATGCCCAGCAGGAAACGCAGCTTCTGCTTCTTGGAAATGGTGTTTGCAAGGAGGATGCATGTGCAAAGAAACATCGGCATGTTAAGCTTCACTGCTCCAGACTTGGTGCCACCAGTGCCACCAAACACTTTCATCCACTCCATGACTTTCAGTTTTGGGGACGCAGTTACGGCTTGCAACTGAGCAGCGTCCAGCAGCACTGGAGCATCTCCAGGGCTCCAATTGCCTAAGGCTTGCCAGCTATTGTACACTTGCACCCATCCCCCGAGAGACTTGACCGGAAGTTTCACCATTCCACTTCGTTTGCCTGCCAACAAATGAACCCAAAGATCTCTGAACCAGTCCAGAGTAGGTGCTTCGCTCTCAATGGCTTCAACGATTTCGCTCAAATCATCTCCACTGTAGGAGAACGACTTGGGCATCGGGCATGGCAAGGACAGCCGACGTTGATCCCCCTTCTGAAAGTCACTGAGAGTGTCGCTGTTCCGGCCATTCACAGAAGCACTAGCAACAGCTTTGACTGAGCTGAGAGTGATGCTCCCTGTGCCGTTTCTCTTCACCGGTGCACTTCTTGCCATCCTGTCGGTATGACGATCCGTCAGAGATGGTAGCTGGGGGCCCTGGGGGCCCTGGGGGCTTTTCAGGTTCAATGGAAGATCCTCCAACAGATTCACATCATTCTCTTCCCCTTCCCCTTCGGAGGGCGTCCATTGGCGACCAGCGGCCCGGGTGCTGGGGGTAGACGGTGGCGATGGGCCAATGTGATCAAAGGCCTTGGCATTACTTGCCCGTCTCCGTCTAAGCCAAGCGAGCTTCATGGCACCCGCGACCGCTATGACTGGATATGACTGGATATGACTGGATATGACTGGTGGTCTCAAGTTCTTTTTGTTGTGCGAAGATGAGATTTGACATGTTTGCATCATAAAGCCAAATGCCCGTGAAATTGCATGAACTTTTCCGTCTTGAGCGGCAACGCCTTTTTTTAACGCGCCGTTGTTTGGCATGGATCATGGAGGCGTTGATGACTATCACGGGGATTGGCAAAGAACTTCAGATTGACACTAATTGGGTTTAAGATTGGCTTATATCTCTGGTTGGTGGTGCAATAGCCATCTTGAAAAATATGAGTCAATGGGAAGGATGACATCCCTTTTATATGGTGGAAAGTCATAATCCAGTCATGTTCCAAACCACCAACCAGATCTCATAATGAGTTGAATCAGCCTGAAGCTAGGATAACTATCGTAAACTCTCTGGCTATAACTTACATCCCCATAATTCCCCATATACCTAGCTCTCCGGTCAATGAGTCTAGGTCACCAGGTAGATATCACTGAAAGGTCAATGAAGGACCTGGATCTCACTGATCCCACAAGTCATCACAAGTCGCACGCCATGACGCCATGTCCCGTGTTCCAAAACTTCACCCCCAACAAAGAAAAGGCAACATATTTTGGGCAAAACTGCTCTTTTTTTTGCTCAAGAAATCCAGCACCCAAGTTTGCGATGTGACCATTCGTCCTCCATTCTGGAAAGCACAGGGCTGGAGTTGGGCTGTCCTGTCGGTGTTGAACATTGTTGAACAAACCCGGCCCCAAGAAGATAGATGTCAACTTGGGAGCCTCTACCCCAAATAATTAGAGATGAAGAACACCGAAATTCTTGAACAGTGAAATTGAAATTCCTACTATTTACATGAATCTCGATGTTTTGCCAGTTAATTGTGTGATACTATGTTCTGCTTTGCTATTCCAACCCCAGTTAAACTGGCTTCGGGTAGACATCCTCATGGTTGACTGCATCATGACCGAGGATTCCCCTCCATCCAACTGAGTGTCAAAAACCAAACCTCATTGACATCATTGATCAATGAACCATGAGATTTTAAATCTGCATGCCAAAACTGATCGATTTCCTAAGTTTTTTTGTACAAACAAAACATTGGGTGCAGCAGCTCACAAAAGTACCCCCTATGAGTGGTGCCCCCCTCAATTTGAAGTGGCCCCCCACAATTAGGAAAGCCCACTTGGCGCCCCGTAGATCCAATATGTGACCATATTCGCCGATTTCCCTTTCCTTTTTTCTTTTTCCTCTTTACTTTGTTCGATCATCTTTTAATTTTGCGTCTACTTCTTGTCCTTTGATTCTTTACTTTTTTTTCTTCCTCATTGTGTATCTTGTGTTTTGCTTTCATGTTTGTTTCCTTCTCTTTTCTCTCTTCCCTCTCCTGTTTATTCTAGTGTTGTGGTCGTATTTTTTCTTTTATGTTATATAATGTGGGATGCTCCTACCAAGCTACTCTCATTAAATATGACCCTTCTAGGATGCCGATTCATCAAAATTGACCCTTCGTTGATGCTTCTACAAAGCTATGTTCATTCAAAGAAGATCTTCATTCATGCTCCTGTGCAGCTATGTTCATCGAAATGAACCCTGCAACAACAATGGCGAATCTTTGAATTAAAGGGGGTCCTGGCAACCCCATAGAATCTCTTTGACCTACTTGACCATGAGGGGCTTGGATTTTGCATCCAGGTAGCATTCCTGAAAATGGACAAACTGAATTACCAATTGTTGGGGGTGACTAGTGACGCACATATACTGAATTTGAGGCTATATTCTTCCAATTCATGTCGTTGGTGGCACTTACCCGAATATGCAGCACCTAGAAAATCCTAGAAAGATTGATGGGTTTCCATTGGTTTCCATTGGTTTCCTGGTCCACTTTGACTCAAGGACGTACCCCAACAAAACGCTGCAGAAAAATGTGGGCGCCAGGCCTCAGCAGCCACCTTGCCCAAAAGGAACTCATCGAGCTCAGTAGTCATCAGGTCGTAGAGACTTTTTTTGGGGCTGATTTGAAGAGTGTTTCCCTGTTCTCCTGGTTGGTGGTTGACCTACCCCTCTGAAAAATGATGGAGTGAAAGTCAATGGGAAGGATGACATCCCATAAATGAAATGGAACATAAAAAATGTTTGAAACCACCAACCAGTCTCATTTGGTAGGGCCAATCTTGTCATTTTTTGATGTAGGGCTATGTTTTTTTGATCTGCGTCAGGTCAAAAACACAACGACTGACCGATAGAAACGATCGTGTTCTCATCTCAATGGGATAAATGTCCTTGAGAATATTGCCGCAATCTCGCCACCACTACTGAACCATAAGGCTGTTCATTGTGTCTTGCTTAGTTGTGTCTCGAAACACGTATCTTCACTTAATATATTATGTATATACAATTATACATATTTATAATATGATATGTATTGCATATAATTCCTACAAACATATGAACATGAGTTAAACAAGCACCATATGTGCCATATGGCTTACCTGGTTTTTCACCACTCAAATGATGCCATGATCCGACGCAAGTTGCTGCCCTCAAAGTTGGATCAAATGACTCACATCCAGCGCTGTGTTTCAAATGATTCAAAAAATGATCTGGTTGGTGGTGCAATAACCATCCTGAAAAATGATGGAGTGAAAGTCAATGGGAAGGATGACATCCCATATATGAAATGGAAAATAAAAAATGTTTGAAACCACCAACCAGATAATGTATCACTCTATGGCCGTCCCAATTACCCAATTCCTCTCCGCATTTTCGCCGACTTTTTCCAGAGTGGTCAGCAATGTTACCGCAAAGATCCACACAAGTTCCAAAAGGACCAGCTGTGGTACCAAACTGTTCAGAGCTCGGTTTCTCACCACAAGATGCGACTCTTTGAAAGGATCTCCTAGAGTTCTTTTTTCAGACTGACTCTCAGTGGGTCGCATAAATATGCATAAAATGCTCACTTCATTATGTTATTGCACCAATCGAGAATCCGTACATATTTCGCATCCACTGAAATTGTGTGCCTCAGACTGTGCTTTAGCAAGGTCCAACTGGAACTTATTACGGGAAGGAAAACCCTTGGCCCCCTTTCCTTAAAGGAAAGCTGAGCTGGCAAGCACCCCTTTCGAGTGGTGTGCCGTTGCTATCGGCTGATGCCCATTTTTGCACAGTTCGGGTGAGAGTGCTGGGGTGTGAAACGCCAACATGTTCGTCAAATTAGTTGCAACCTGGAATGTCCAGGGAAACGCCATGGGCCAAAGCGATCAATGGCGCCAATCCCAGCATGTCAAATCCATGTCAAATGGCTGAAATTCACAGTTTTTGGGTGCCCCAAGTTCGCCCGCCACTGAAGATTCTCCAATATTTGGTCTTTAAGGACCCATATCTAGCCCTACCAAGAGGCATCAACACAGGAGTGTGGAGACCCTGTGGTACAACAATGTGTCAATGGAGTTTCTCGTTCTCAACAGAAAAGGCATCTAAAAAATATGTATGGAGAATTTCCCATTATATAGCCATTGCCGGAGGTTTTTCTAAGGACATTTTCACCAATCCCAACATGGCTCTGCTCAAAACTATCCAAACGTTGTATGCTGGAGAAATTTCCCCTTTAGTTCGATGATTTTCCCAGATGTTCTTCACCTCCATCTATAGAGGATGTCCAATTGCCACGTTTGATTACTGGAGGGTAGTATCACCATTATATCCCATGAAATATGCTTGTCATATCACATTGTACCACCATTTTGGTTGGTGAAGTCCCAGTTCTTGTTGGTTAATATCCCATTAATTGGTTAATATCCCATTAAATCACCAATCCATTTGGGTCGCCCCAAAAAAACTCGCTGACCATGGCGATGGTGACACCTCTCTCAGTAAAAGCCACCTGACTCTCATTGGTCAACCAGTGTCCCAGCATTGGATGAAGGGAAAAATGAAACGAAAAATTGTAATTAATTTAATTGGGAAAGTATGGAAAATCCCCTAGAAATCACTGGAAAGTAAAGGAAATATATAGGAAAATCCACTCAACATGTAGGTTGTAGTGGGGAAAAATCTGTACATGTTGGATTTTCCAGCACGCCATGTTTGATTAATGGCATTCATCGTGATATGACGTGAAATTGCTATTCTATATATTACAAACTTACTTGTGCTAAACGTAGGGAATGGATGGCAATGGGGGAATGGGATGATTATTACTAGTAATTAATTATGGATCATTCCCTCATTCCCTGCTAAGCACAAATTGGTCATACAAATCTGGTTGGTGGTTGACCTACCCCTCTGAAAAATATGAAAGTCAGTTGGGATGATGACATTTCCAATATATGGAAAAATAAAATTCATGTTCCAAACCACCAACCAGAAATTGTTTAGTAGGGAATGGATGGGCTGCTGGGGGTTGCTGGGATGATTATTACTAGTGATGACTGGGATCATTCCCGAAAATTCCCTGCGTTTAGCACCACTAAGATTGTTCATCACTGGTCAACATTGATCAAACAGATCCCCCTAAGAATCGCCCCTTAGGTTCAATAATATTGACTAAACACTGGTCAAGAATATATGTATATGTACCAATTACATAATGCGTGGCAAATGTCACATGATTCAAACTGTATCCCAGTCTAACTCAGGTGATTAGTCCAAGGAAACCTTGGGACCTGCTGCATTTCTCGTTTACCAGGTATTGATAGGGCTATGGGGCTATGGGGCTATGTTAAGTAATATTGGGAGAATCCAACATTTAGAACCTGAATACCTGAATCCTATAGCCCTATCAATGCCTGGTAAAAAAAATATCGTTAAAAAAAGGATCCAAAGATTCAGGATCTACCCTCTGGTTATGTCAAAGTAGCTATGGAAAGTGGCCATAGAAATAGTGGATTTTCCCATGAAAAATGGTGGATCTTTCCATAGTTATGTGAACGTTTACCAGAGGGTACGTAATATAACACGTAGCAACATATCTTGATCCTGAATCCATGGTCACCATGCGTAGCCTGTTGCCTCTTGGAACGTCAGGATAGACTTAAAGTGCGTCCTACCTCCGAAAGTGCCTTTTGGGATACCCATTTTGGTCAATGACCCATCTGTGGTCCCATCGAGAGGCGCCGAGCTGCAGAAGCTATGCCAAGATGGCACTCTCGTGGGGAATGACCTGGTCGCCAAAAGACATACCCTCTGGTAAACTGTTACAGAACTATGGAAAGATCCACCATGCTATTAATGGGACAATCCACTATTTCTATGGCCATTTTCAATAGCTATTGAACAAATAACCAGAGGGTAAGTTTCATCCTTCTTTCCACAGAACAATCAGAGAAAGTTTTAATTGGGGACTTAGACGACTTAGACGACTGAGTAACTACCCGGACTACCGACTGTCACTGATCTACCGCGGGGGATGATCATCCATGGTCTACCGGGATTCCACCATACTCCACCTCTTTTTTAGCAGGGCCACCTTCCCTCGGGCGTTGAAGTAGTGCGAGATGTCCTCTCCCTGACGTCGAAAAACACGGCCAAAAGATCCACCACATTCATTGGAAAACGGGTGAAGGAAAAATCTACAGCAGACCACGGTGTTTCCCATGAAATATTCGGTCCTTCATAAAATTCCCTTGAACCAATTCAAGGATACGTAAACATGGACATTTCCTCGGAACTTTACTTGGACCAAATCAGAAAATTGCAGTCTGTGCAGTGTTGCTTTCTTGCTATCTGAATTGCAAGTGCGTTGCCGCAAAATCTTCAGTTCTTGCAAACCTTTAGAGATTTCACCAAAGATTCCGGAGCAAATTTCTTAAGTATGTCCTGGAATTTGGATGCGCTCGCATGGGGGATAATCCAAAAGAAAACTAAAATTATGGATTATTTGACTTCAAATTTTCCCCTTGCCCATGTGGATAGAGCAAATAGACATCGGCGTCCCCAAGACGGGACTAAGACGGGACTATCGAACTATCCTTGTGTTGATCTCCCCATATGTATTCATATGTCACATACCAAATCCTGTACAAGCTACTGTCCTCCATAGGGATTATTGGAATCCAAAAGCACTGTCAGAATGGCATCAGAATGGCATCCGCTTCGAACCAACATCAGGTCGGGACATTGAGATGATGCTCCTATATCCCTATATCCTTCTGGAGTTCCAAAAGCGTATTACACCTGAATAGGTATACTACACATAACACATGAAAACATATATATATAACATATATATAACAATATATATATATATAACATAAATAAATATATATATATTATATGCAATATAATATATATATTACATATATATATAATATGTATAACATGTATATATGATATAATATATATTTATATAAGGGAAAAAAGGATACTCCTGGCTTGGCTCACCGCTTCCCCGAACCGCCAGACTTTTTGGACGCCTTATATGGTGCATTCAGCTGCGCAATCGCCAACTCCACATCCTCGCGAAACATGGCACTTTAAGAAGGCCAAAGGCAGCGTGCAAGGATCATCAGAGATCAAAGAAAATGAATGTAACATGACCTGGTTGGTGGTTTGAACCCCTCTGAAAAATATTAGTCAGTTCGGATGATTATTCCCAATATATGGGAAAATAAAAAATGTTCCAAACCACCAACCAGTGACAAATATATAAGTAGAGGGAATGTAACATGACAGAACGAGTCCAACAATGGAAAAAGTAAACACATCCAATAGACAATCCTGGACTTAGAAGATTCAATTGGCCGCTGAAGTTCTGGGGTAGACTCGCATTATTAAAGTAATAATAAGTCTTTAGACTAATTATAAATGGTTTAATACACGGAAACCTATCTAGCAGGCAGGGAGTTTCCAACCTCAAAGCCTGGCTGATCTGATGCCGATTCATGAACCCTGGGTTTTTCTTAATCCCTACAAGGTGGTTCCCCATAGTTAGCTGAGTTGGTGCAAATAACTCCAATAAGTATGGTTTATGGTAGATATATCATGATACACTTACTACTTACTATGTTTTTTTTCAACCAACGTTCACATCACTGGGAGGGCGCCTTGTATGGATTGATGACCCATATGATTTCCCATCCTCAGACGGCACGTCCACACTCTTCAGGAAGTCCACATAGTTGAAGACGAAATGGTCACCTCAGGGTAGCAGCATTTGTGGGAGCTTTCCATAGTCATGGGGATACCACAATAGCTGGATGGGAGGATTTTTTTTGCATGGAAAATCCAGCCTCCAAAAAAAATGCCATGGATTATTCAGGGCTAGCCTCATGGATTTAGGACACCTCGAACGTTTCCGAAGGGGTAATCCAGGAATTTTCCCGCGGGAATCTCCCCATGATTATCCAATAATGGTTGAAGATGGTTCATGGTGGTTAATAATGAATATCCCATGAATTTTCCCCATGTTTCTCCATACCCTCTGGTAGTTTAACTGAAAAGGAACAGTTACTGGTGGTTATATAATAATGGTTAATATTGGTTAATCATGGTTATTCTAATGGTTAATTTCTGGTAAACGTTTACACTTTGCAAACTTGAAGCCATGGCCCAGTCGAAATAGTTGATTTACCCATCAAAAGCATGGTGATTTTCCACAGTTATGTAAACATTTCCATATTTCATGGGTAAATCCACTATAAATGGTGATTTTCCATAGTTATGTAACAGTTTACCAGAGTGTAATATTTGCACCATGGAACGTTGAATGGGAATGCACCATGGGCAACATTGAAGGCCTGCCGATATAAATTTCAAGACAAGTGGGAAGGAAATTGGTGAAAAACCATGGCGTTTGTTCTTTATATTTGTACCTAATATCATATGTATATTTACGTATTGTTTCCTGTCATGGTTCCCTTCGTTTGCGCCATTCATGTAGGTACCCTTCCATTCGTTTCCAGTCGTCGCAGAAGATCATTTTCCAAACAGCCCCCTTGATTTTCCACATCTAAGTTAGACAACCTAAGATAATCATAGAGTGTCAGAATATCAATGAATACCAAATGTATATATGATATATAATTATACATAGTATATATATATGGTATACATATATGGTGTGTGTATATATATATATGGATATATATGGTATGTATATGTGGTGTATATATATAAAGATATATGGTGTATATATATATATGGTGTGTATATATATATATATATGATTGACCATATCAAAGATTTTTGGGTGCTTCAACCTGAGGCAGCGACCCAAATCACAATACATGTTGCCCAAGAGCCCGACGTCATCCTGGACGTATCGACAACCGCGCGTCTGCGCGTCCTGCTATCCTCTGGTAAGAAGTTGATAAGAACAGTCACCACCAAGCAGTATAGGCAAAGAATGTTTACCCTCTGGTAATTTAACATAGCTATTGAAAATTGTCATTTATAGTTGATTTACACACTAAAAATGGTGATTTACCCTCTGAAAAATCATGGAGTGAAAGTCAGTTGGGATGATGACATTCCCAATATGATGGAACAGTCATAAAATTCCATGGTTCCATTATTGATTATTATATCCCATTATATCCCACTAAAAACATCATTATATCCCAATCTATGGAAAGTAATGAAAGTCATGTTCCAAAGAGCCAACCAGGGGATCATTCAAAATCTCACCAGCAAGCAGTGGACCAGGAACTTCGCCTCTGAGAGATCAAAGCCCATACTCTGCATCACCTGCCGCGAAAAAAATCTCATTTGATCGCAACAACTGGGATTTATCCAAGACTTATTACTGTATCATGGAAGAATATCAATTCAAACAGACATGGATATTAACGGATTGTGACAATGGATTGATGATATTGAATATACCCTCTGGTTATCTAACGTAGCTATAGAAAATCCTCATTTTTAATAGGTAAACCCATCTATAAATGGGCCATGTTTCATGGCTATGTTAAATAACCAGAGGGTAATTCTTACATATGATAAGCAGGATAAATGGACTGAGTCTCACCATAGGTCTTTGCAAAAGTACTGGTTTCCTGCTTCCATCAGAGTGATCAAAGGGCCTGGATACTCTGACTGGTGCGTTTTACGCAGGGACTTTTCGGGAATGATCCACTGGCAACTATCAATTTCATCATCCCAGCAATCCCCAGCAACCCATCCAGCCACCCTACGTAAAACATACCAGTAAGTTTGTAATATATAGAATAGCCCATGTTTTACGTAGGGTGGCTGGGGTGTTTTCACATAGTAACACTAATAGAATAGCCCATGTTTTACGTAGGGTGGCTGGGGTGTTTTCGCATAGTAACACTAATATATTGCTTATGTAGGGTGTGACCCATATATCCATATCCCTACGGAGGCTACGTAAAACACATAGAGAATAGCCCAGTACCCTCCAGTAATCAAACATCCAATGGCTCTTCAGATCCCTGGAAAAAAATCACACAGTGAATCCACGACGGATGGCCACCATAAAGGTCACCTGAAAAATGGGAAAAATGGGCCACCGTGACCAAGGGCTTAAGCCATCAGGGTGAACATGAAAATTTGAAGGTTGTGAAAATGTATGTTCATCCACTAGATATGGTTTTCCAGGATTTTTTTCTAAGGGGAATATTTAATAAATTAATAAGACATATTGATTAATCTTCTCAATAGATTCCGGAGATTATCTTTTCATATCTGTTTATCAAATCAAATCCAGGGTAATAAACACTTGATGAATCCTTATTAGTGGCTGTTGTTGGTTAACAAGGCCAAACAAAAACACAACTCTCAGCATGGTACCGCAGGTTTTAACCTCCCCACATCTGTTTCGAGCCCCTCTTTTCTCTGGCGCGATCTTTGGTTGCTACTGTGCTTCATGGGAGTGACCTGAGCAGCAGTCAGTCCATAAGGGTCCTGCCAGTGAGAACTGAGTTTAGTAGGCTTTACTTAATTTACTAGCTTCACTGATTCACTATCTTTTTTGTCTTAAATGTAGCTTGAATATAAACTGGTCTATGTAGTGATTGGGATCTTTGCTGCCGGTTGGAACTTTGTTGTTCATTAAAAGACGATCAAAAGCCGATTTGAACTGTCTAAGGGCCCTTCACTAGAGAACACGGGTGACTCTTTGGGTCCATCATTTTTTGGACACGCTGATCATGCTGATCTGGTCACGTAGCACACACACAACCCACACGATAGCGACATACCGTAGAGTAACTAACATCAAATTGGATGCAGTGTACGAGACGCTAAGCAAACTACCACCAACCATATTTTGGATGAATGCGAGATTTGTTGTGGCTGCCATGTCTGGATATTCTTATTGTATATTGTTGTTGCTGTTTGGGGCACTCCCAAAGATTGGATAGCGATGGGGAAGAACGGTCCTGAACACCATACGCTCTGTGTGCATATGTGTGATTGTGTATGTGTGTCCGTCTGAGAGATAGGGTGACGAATGTTCAAGGGCATTTCATGTCTATCTCTCATGTTCATTCTTACACAAGTTTTAAGTTGTAAAGTTATTCTCATGTCATATATATATATACAGTATATATGACACATATTGTCATATCACAATAATGTCCTTTTGGTAAAAACAGCTTTGGGCCGGTATCTGGTTAATCCATGTTAATCCCATCTATCATCATTGGTTTACCTGTTTTTCAGGGGCAAACCTCCTCCTCCCCCTGGGATGATCCTCGAGTGCCCAACGTGATCAGTTTACAAATTTGCCCAACTCCAGGTGCATCCGGCAGCGTGGCCAGCAAGGTCGAATGCCTGAGATCGATCACGACGAAAAAAAAAGGCGCTGATTTCGAGTGGAGAGACATCCTTTGGGTAAAATGGGCGCACATGTTGTATACAAATAAATGTATATATATATATATATATCTGTAGTATATATATAATATGTATATATATATATATGTGTGTATGTAGTATATATATATATATTATTATGTACCAACAAACACACATAGTATATATATATTATCATGTACCAAGAAACACACACACAAAAATATATATATATATACACATCAAACATCATTAAATGTGTATATATATATATTTATTGATTTATTTATTTGTGTGTATAAGACATGTATACATATATATAAGACATGTGCATTGAGATAGTTGTGTAAT